GCATTCCCGGGCAGAAAACACTTTAAATGTACATTATCCTGACTAGAGTTCATTTATTTATATAGTAACACCTACCCCACTGGACTTTTGCTTCCTCCTGTGGGTCAGAGATAGGACCTTTGGGCCAAAGAGAGACCAGTGGCTGCAGCACACAGGAATATGCCAAAATTAAATGGCAAATTTATCTATTTAAAGAGACTGTATGCCTCACCAGACCATGTTTCTTGGTCAGCATCCCATATTTATCCTGTAATTACACCTTCACACAAAAGACATCTGTAAGGCTGACTTTTTTTTTTAAAGGGCACAGTTTTATTATATGCCCTGTTTTCACTGTAATGAAATGCTGGGGGGGGGGGAGGAGATCCCTTAACGGGGAATGAAACTTGCTCTCATTGGAAACTTTCCACATGTGGAGAAGAGAGTGCAGCAGGCACTCCAGTCCCTCCTCCTCCCACTTCTCTACTCCTTAGTAGAAAGCACCCCCTGACACACCTTTAGCTCTCTACTTCTTAAAGATAATTAATAGCTGATATTATCTTGCACCCCCAGTCAGTTCTCCTTTCTTCCTTGTGTCAGGATCCTGAACTCGACCATCTCATGGTCACTGCCTCCCAGGTTCCCATCCACTTTTGCTTCCCCTACTAATTCTTCCCGGTTTGTGAGCAGCAGGTCTAGAAGAGCTCTGCCTCTAGTTGGTTCCTCCAGCACTTGCACCAGGAAATTGTCCCCTACACTTTCCAAAAACTTCCTGGATTGTCTGTGCACCTCTGTATTGCTCTCCCAGCAGATATCAGGGTGATTAAAGACACCCATGAGAACCAGGGCTTGTGATCTAGTAACTTCTGCTAGTTGCTGGAAGAAAGCCTCGTCCACCTCATCCCCCTGGTTTGGTGGTCTATAGCAGACTCCCACCACGACATCACCCTTGTTGCTCACACTTCTAAACTTAATGCAGAGAATCTCAGGTTTTTCTGCAGTTTCATACGGAGCTCTGAGCAGTCATACTGCTGTCTTACATACAATGCAACTCCCCCAGCTTTTCTGCCCTGCCCGTCCTTCCTGAACAGTTTATATCCATCCATGACAGTACTCCAGTCATGTGAGTTTTCCCACCAAGTCTCTGTTATTCCAATCATATCATAGTTCCTTGACTGTGCCAGGACTTCCAGTTCTCCCTGCTTGTTTCCCAGGCTTCTTGCATTTGTGTATAGGCACTTATGATAACTCGCTGATTGTCCCCGCTTTCTCAGTCTGAGCAGGAATCCTCCCCCTTGCACTCTCCTGCTTGTGCTTCCTCCCGGTATCCCAAAAAAACATTGCTACCAGAAGTGGGGTTTGAACCCACACAGACATATGTCCATTGGATCTTAAGTCCAATGCCTTAACCACTCGGCCATTCTGGTAAGTGCTGGGCTTCATCTGCAGCAAGGGAATTTAGGTTAGTTATTAGGAAAAACTTTCTAACTGTAAGGGTAGTTAAGCTCTGAACTAGGCTTCCGGGGGAGGTTGTAGAATCCCCGTCACTGGAGGTTTCTAACAACAGGTTGGACAAACACTTGTCAGGTGTCGCCTAGGTTTATGTGGTCCTGCCTCAGTGCAGGGCCTGGACCTGAGGATTTCTCAAGGTTCCTTTCCAGCCCTACGTTTTTATGATTCTGTGAAATTGTATGCTGCTGCAGTAAGCTCCGGGAATGTTCCCACAGAGGATGTGTCCTTCTCATACATGGGAGGGAAATTCTACTCCATGGTTTTATATCTCTGGGTTTCCTTAACATGATACTTCAGCAAATGCCAGTCTTGACATGGAGAAACCAGTTCTTGCTAGAGTGAAATGGGATTCGCTCTCCGATCTCCATGTTCATTCCATCTTCAGCTTCCTCACTTTTTCAGCTCTTTTCAGAAACACCAGCCTTTCTTTGGTGACTGGGAAGGACTAGTAGGCATCTGATTTGATTCAGCATAATATCGGGATATAAACCAAAGAGGACAGTCCTATTCTGTTTCTAATGCAGATGGCCACACGCAGGGTTCAGCTGAGTTCGGAAAACTCATCATATTTGCAACAGTGGGTTGGATTGAAACTCAGGTGCTCAGTCACAGCACAAGGAAAGCTAATACCCATAAAACAGCTATCAGCTCTCCTGTTTTATATAGGGGAAACAGAAAATAGGTGCTGAAGGGCCAAGGTAGGGAGGGGTGTTTGATTTTATAGCATGTGTTTTGCAGTATAGAGTGGGGGGAGGAGAGAGGGGAGACAGGAAGAGTGGAGGGACTTCTTAAGAGCTCTTCTGTCTCAGCAGTCTAGGCCAGCCACAGAGTGTACAGTGAGCTCCTTCCTACGTCCATCCTGCTGCACAAAGCCTTTTTCATAGCACTGGAACAGGGAGAATAGTCTTGTGGTAAAACTGAGGACAAACCAGACCCCCTTTTGGCAAATAACCCAGGCCATTTTTTTCACTGCATATTAGACACAAAGATTAGTTCAATATTTTAGAAGGGGCTTGATTCACCCTTTGGGTTTTTCTGTGTCAGAATCCCTTTTCCAGTGGGATTTCTGCAACCCTGTATGATCTCTCACAGACACACATACTATCTATAAATAGATGTACCATTCCTAACCTCACCCAGCAAATATAGGACTATTTTGGCCTAGGAGTGTGGGATGTGGAAATGAGCCTATGACTAGGCTGATGTCACAGAAAAAATGGAAATGAGAAGTGAGTTGTTTGGAAAAAGAAAAAGAATAAATAAATGAAGTTTGTTGGTTTTAGTTAAAAGTGGGATTTATTTATAAAGCAAAAATAGCCAGTGTTGATTTTGAGAGAACAATCAGAAACTAGGCTGAACTTGTTTTTTTCCAGAGAATTTTCTGTCCTGCTTTAACCTGATTTGATCCCCCAGAATACGGGCACACAGGGGCAGCTCTATGTTTTTTGCCGCCCCAAGCATGGCAGGCAGGTGGCTTTTGGCGGCACACCTGTGGGCAGTCCACTGGTCACGCAGATTCGGTGGCATGCCTGCGGGAGGTCCGCCGGTGCTGCACCATTGGCGTCCCCGCCACCAAATTGCCACCGAAGCTGCGGGACCAGGGGACCTCCCGCAGGCATGTCGCTGAAAGCCGCCTGCCTGCCGCCCTCACAGCGACCAGCAGGCCACCCCCCACGGCTTGCCGCCCCAGGCACACGCTTGCTACACTGGTGCCTGGAGCCGCCCCTGCGGGCACAGATGCCAGAGATAGCAAAGATCTATTAGATCATCACATCTATTCCCAGGCAAAAGCAGGATATAGTCTCCTGACAGTTGTATCAGACAGTATCCGTGATCATAGCTAACAGGCCAAGAAAAAACAATGCAGTTGGTCAAACAAAATTAATCGCTACTTGGTTGATCTCCATCCCCAGACACACACTCCTTGCTCCATTTCCCCAAAGAAATCTACATGCCACAAAATGCATAGCTAGACTTCCATACAGTCCCCTGTTGTGGTGATGAACCTGACGTTGCAGTTCATTAACAAACTGATCACTAGAAACGAGTCAAACATTTGTACTCTATACTGGTGAGTGGGCTTTTTTTCCTTTCCTTCTTCAAGACAGGAAATGATGTCCATTTGAAGATGACCCTTTTGTTTTTGTTGCAGTAAGGTCTATAGGTCACCAACCATGGACTGTGATGGTTCAGTCTTAGCCAATCCTAGGACGTAGCATTATAGGGATGCAGGCTGTGAGGGAGCCCAATCCCTTGAACATTGTAACAATGCCATACAAACGTGGTAGCTCATTTCAACATTAGGGAAAGAATCATAGAAACATAGGGCTGGAAGGGACCTTGAGAAGCCATCTAGTCCATCCCCCTGAGCTGAGGCAGGACCAAATAAACCTCGAGACCATCCCTGACAGGTATTTGTCCAAAATGCTTTTAAAGACCTCCAGTGATGAGGATTCCAGAACCTCCCTAGGTAACCTATTCCAGTATTTAGAAATATTTTTCTAATATCTAAATGAAGAACATTTAATCACCATCCTCTTTATAACAGCCCTTAACATATTTGAAGACTATGAGGTCCCCCACTCAGTCTTCTCAAAACTAAACCTTTCCTCGTCAGTCAAGTTTTTTAAACCTTTTATCATTTTTGTTATTCTCCTCTGAACTCTCACCATTTTGTCCCCATCTTTTCTGAAGTGTGGTGCTCAAAACTGGATATGGTACTCCAGCTGAGGCCTCACCAGTGCTGAGTAGAGTAGAACAAGTATCTCCCATGTCTTACATACAACACTTTTGTAAATACATTCCAGACTGATTAGCCTTTTTCACAATTGCATCACATTATTGACTGATACGCAATTTGTGATCCAGATCCTTTTCTGAAGTACTACTGTCTAGCCAGTTATTGCCTATTTTGTAGTTGTGCATTTGATTTTTTTTCTTCCTAAATGTAGTACTTTGCACTTCTCATTATTGAATTTCATCTTGTTGATTTCAGACCAATTCTCCAATTTATCAAGGTCATTTTGAATTCTAATCCTGTCCTCCAAAGTGCTTGCAATCCCACTCAGCTTGCTGTCCTCCTCAGATTGTATAAGGATACTCTCCACTCCTTTATCCCAGTCATTTATGAAAATATTGAATAGTACTAGACCCAGGACAGAGCCCTGTGGGATCCCACAAGATACATCCTCCCAGTTTGACAGAAAATCATTGACAACTACTCTGAGTATGGTTTTACAACTAGTTGTGCACCTACTTTATTGACATTACATTTAGACCTCATTTCCCTAGTTTGCTTATGAGACTGTCATCTGGAACTGTGTCAAAAGCTTTATTAAAATCAAGATATTATATCTACTGATTCCCTACATCCATTAGGCCAGTAACCTTCTGAAAGAAGGAAATTAGGTTGGTTTGGCATGATTTGTTCTTGACAAATCTGTGTTGACTATTCCTTATCACCCTATTATCCTCTAGGTGCTTACAAATTGATTGTTTAATAATTTGTTCCAGTATCTTTCCAGGTATCGAAGTTAGGATGATGGGTCTATAATTCCCCAGGTGGTCTTTGTTCCCCGTTTTTAAAAGGTATGTACTATGCTGTTGTTGTTATTCATAATAATATAATAATAATAATAATTACTAATTAATAATAGTAACACCTAGCTTTCATAGAGCACTTTTCATCAGTAGATCTCAAAGAGCTATACAAAGGAATTCAACATCATTTCCCCCATTTTACAGATGGAGTTTGTGTAAAAGAAACAGACAGAAATATGTTTATCTAACAATGAGCAGATAAGGAAAATACGACATTTAGCAACCAGAATGAAAACAAGGATGAGTGTTACAGAAAAGGGTGGGAAGGGGCAAAAGTGGGGTAACCATCCTACTATACCTACTATACACTACAGTGTATTCCTGTGTGTGCATGTTCATACATCACCGGGGCTGAACCTTGTAAAGAGAATGAAGCAGACACTGCTTGTTGCAGAATTTGGTATTTTATTAGATTGCTAGTCAGATATTTTCATTGATTTGTAGATTATAAAGACAGAAGAGACCATTAAAATAATTTAATCTGAACTTTTGTATATCACAGGCTATATATAGAAACTCACCCAGTAATTTCTGCATCAAGCTCATAACATAGGCATCATTTGCATTTCTACTGGTTTGGTGCCAGTTCATAAATTCAGGCTACGGTTAAACTGGAGCTGGCTTGAGAACCTGGAGTAGGATTAGTGCCAGTTCATGGCCTTGGGCTAGTTTGAGGGCCAGATCTAATTGCAGAGTGGGGACAAGATTCTGGGTCTGGCTAGAACTGAAGTTGGAGCTAGTCTGAAAGCCCAAGGTAGGGTGAAGCTTGAGACCATCTTGTGGGGTCAGGCTAAGATAAGGGTCGGGCCAATTTGAAAGTCAGGGCGAGGTATAGAGTTGGGAACAGATTGTTAGCTTAGGTGACTTTTAGGATTGGGTCTCGCTTGTGGACTCAGGAGAGGGTGATGGTGGGGTCAGTTTGTGCCTCCAGGCTTGGGTTTGAACCAGTTTGTGGGCATTGGCTGTGGTTAGAGTTGGCACCCATTTGTGGGCCTGGGCAAGTGTTAGCATTGGGCCTGGCTGGAGATCCCATCCAATGTTTAGGGTTATCACTCAGGAGGGTTGAGGCTGGGGCCAGTTCACTGCCCCAGGCTAAGTTAAGGGTTGGGGCCAGCTCATGGTCTCATACAGTGTTCACACTCCAGCATGCATCACACGCATGTATTCACAGCAATCTGCATCACACTTACAGCTTGAAGCAGAGAGGAAGGGAGTGGGGTGGCACAACATTCTTCCTCCTTTCACTTGAGCTCAGCATCGAAGCAGAGGTGCTATGCAGCCTGTTGCATCAGTGCTCTCAATGTCAACAAAGAAGGGGACAGCAGTGCTCCAGATATAGCTCTTCCTTTTGCCCCACTCCTTATCTCTGGTTCGGATCAGTGCAGTGGGGAGCAGGTGGAGCAGGGGGGAGAGGAAGCAGGGAGCCCCATATTTTACTTTGTGGGTGTGACCAGTCCAGAATTCTAGGATTCTGAGCACAGCAAATGTGAGTCAAAAATAGATGGCTACCCATTTCCCCCAGACTGTTCTTGATCTCACTTGAAGTCCAAAAATGTATTTTTGCAGTACTACAGACCATTGAAATAAGACAAATCTCTCTCTGAAGCAGACTGGCCATTACTTAAGGTGTCTTGTTTGCCAACTGTAGGAAAAATAACATCAAAACAAGGAGGTATGCAACAATATTTGAAAAGCATGGAAACACACCTGCAGAGTGTTTAAAAGTCTTCAATCCAACCACACTATTTTCTGCATTCTGAGTTTCTTACCATTTGCCTGTAGTTTGATGCTTTCCCTTAGAATCTGGGGTTCCTATTCCTTTCATAAAGACTCCTTTTACATCAGCTGTTGTGTTTGGGCTCATTTTTTGACATTGGCCCTGTCTCCCATGTTGGTTGTGCTCCAGACCTACAGCTCGCAAGTTTCATAAGGTTGTTTTGACGCAGCAAAAGTTGACCTTTGCCAAGTGCTGAAAGGGGGCACTGTTGAGTAGTTTTGGTTTAAAATTTGATCTACCTTAAAAATATTTATTATCTAGTTGGAGAAATGCCTTCTGGGTTCTAAGGATCTATTTATTTTCACTTATATTGTATTGACTTTAAAGGCAGGTTAAGAAAAAAGCATTTTCAACACACAAGCACATTTTTTGCCTTTCTGAGAGTTGATTATTGGCTTGCATAAGTGTTCCCAGGTTGGAGAAGTCTGCCATGAGTTTAGTTAATAGGATTACAGGGATACAATTGAATTAGATTTGAAAACTCTGTGGAGCAGGGATTATATCTTCATGTAAAGTCAGATCCTCTTAGCTAGTGTACATTGTCATATGGAACTATGACCATTTAAACCTGCTGAGGATCTGCCCTGTAAAGTGCCATGCTATGCATGGAGCTATATAAATATTAAGATCAAAGTCTTTAAAGTAGCCAGTGAGCTGGCATACCTCAATTTGTAGGTGCCCTTCTTGAGCAGGAGAGCCATTAGCAGAATTCTGAACAGTACTCACTTCGGTGTTCCTGCCAGGAGGATGGACATACCGACAAGTGCTGTGCACGTGGGCACAGGAGTATTAGGATAAGGGGAATAGTTAGATGTCAAGAAACTGCAGCTTCTTCCCAAACCCTGTCATCATTACTGACCGAGCCTTAGGATGTCATGACCTAACCAGTTTCCCCAGCCTGGAAAGATTACAGCAGGGTGAAATGTTAGATGGGTGTTTTGAGGGTAAAGCACAAACCTATTGTTAAAGGGAATGGGTTAAAAAACACAGGGTGGAAAAACAAATGTATTTATTCTCTTTGCAGGAAATGATTACATCATGTGTAAGATGTTAAGCGACTCGTTCAAAGCTCTGAAATGCTTCAAAAATAGTTAGTGTTGGGTTTTTTCAATTATTCTGTAAAGATCAGAGTCAAATCTTTGCTTTTGGTGCTCCTTGACACTTTGTTGTATACCAGTATTTTTTAAGACTACTTCAAATGCCTCCCTTCACATAAATCATGGATCATACTAAACAGACAGACAGATAATAGAGGTATTTGTAGCAGTGTTTTCCTGGTCATGTCAAATCCCTTTTGCACTCAGGGGAAATTCTAGGATGAATCTGTTGTTGCCAATTGTAGCAGGGTGGCATGCCCCATGGCCTGAGGCTAAGCCAACCCTGATTACACCATGAGCCCCCCTTGAAGAGAATAAGGTAATTCAAATATAAAAGGCTGCAGAAAACGATGGGGAGGGTGTGGTTGAGAGAAGCTCAGGAATTAGAAGATGCAGGAGAAGGAAGCAAGGTCAGACAGCTGAGTTCTCTAGCCGGAAAGGGCTGGGGACTCTCAGCTTCAGATGGAGCAGACTGATGGAGAAAGACCTCTAGATGTGGCTGAAGAACTGGAGCTAGCTCTGAACTGTTGAATTATGATTTTGGACTTTATGCTGAGGACTCATTGAGAACTGGTTGGATTATTTTGTGATTCAGGACTCCGAGGTCAGAGCTTTATTTGATATTAAACCAGCCCCAGCATGGAGTGCTGTGAGCAACAAGAAAGACTGTATGGAGTGTTTAAGGGGCCTCCAAGAGTGGGCTAACAGGGGCAGGGTACCTGTGAAGTGACCCCTAGCATGAGGAGCACTTGCTAAATGGCCATGGTGCTACACCTGGGAGCTCTCACCAGAAGTGACTCCCCTCTGAGACACAGCTCAACCCACTCATGCAAATACCCTTGCTTACAGAAAGCAAAACCCATCTCCCTCGCCTATGAGAACATGCTGCCCCAAGGGCTTTGTGGAGAAAGGGAGGAACCCTGTTCCTATAAAGCCTACTTTTGGTGGCTCAGGAGTGTCAATGATGAACCAAGACCATTCACTTACAAAGGGGGGGAGGTGCAGAATATGGGGGAAAGTGGGGAGAGGAGAGGGCCTGAGGTGTCTTGCTCACTCAGTGGCTAACAAGGAGATTTGGGAAGTTGAATTCAAAGGTTTTCACTTGCTCTGAATATCTAACATAGGCATTGCCTCCAATTCTCCATCTTTAGTATTTAAAAAAACAAAACAAAAAAACCCTCCACTGAGCCTAGACACCAGACTGATATACACCAGATTTTGATTTTTGACTGACAAATACAGACCTGAGCTGACCTCAAGTCTCCTTCCCAGGCTGAACCTGCCAAGAGTGCGATGACTTTGCTGCAGATGGGTCAGTTATGCCCCCTGGTGGCCATGCTCCTACAGCTCTCCTGACAGCACAAGCCTCCCTGTATTGTGTCTGGCATTTTCTCTTGTTGTTCTCCCCTCCCCGCCCCCAACTCCTAGGGACTCTTCATACTCAGATTCTCCTCTGTGCAGTAGAACTCACTTCTCCATGAGCAGTAGTTGTCAGAAGAGGTCTGCAGAACTCCTAAGAGCCATACTCCCAAGAGGCCATATGTGGCTATGACCCTGTGCAGAGGCACTGGGCCTCCATGTGACTTGCCTTGGCCTCCAATATATTCCCCCAATATCCATGGGGATCTTGTGGTTTGGGGAATGGGGGAAGTGAACTCTGTTACATCAAGGATGCAGGGTCAACCCTATCCCCTGACAGAATGAGGGGCAAGCTCAGTTGCCAGCCCTTTATACAGGTGCAGCCCACATAAGGGAACACAGGAACCTAAAGAAAGACATTACTCCTGTCACTTCTCCAGAAGGAAAGGAGCAAATCAGGATCCGCAGTTTCACCAGCTGACTTTTGATTCCAGACTTCTTAGACCACAAGCCCAGAAAACAAACTGCCCTCTGGCTAAAAGGGGCCCCTTAACGACAGGGTTGAGGCATAAAGGTAGGAAGCTTCTTTCACATTGTCCCTTCTCTGTGGCAAAAGAACTTCTGTTCCGAGGGGCTTATCAATCCATTGCCACTCTTCTCTAGCACAAATGAGGAGGAAGGGGACAGAAAAGAGGAGAAATGAGAGCAGGAGGAACAGCCAAATTCTGTACTGACTTAGACTTTGTGCAGCCTTCTTAAAGATAAAGGGTCAAATCCTAGCCCCATTGTAATTTATGGGAATTTTGCTGTTGCCTCAATGGTGACCAGGGTTTGGCCCAAAGTTAGTGGGTTTGCACAAGGTGTAAGAGCAGAACTTGGCCCTTAGAAATTGGAGAAAGAGAGTGCCTCTGTAGAGTGATTCATATTTAGAATTATCAGCCCACAATAACTGCAGTGTGGAGGAAAGCTATGTTTATCCAAGAAAGCCCACGAAAGCTTATGCTCTAATAAATTTGTTAGTCTCGAAGGTGCCACAAGTACTCCTGTTCTTTTTGAGGATAGAGACTAACACGGCTGTTACTCTGAAACCTATGTTTATCCAAGCAACTGGCTACATTTATCTGGAATGCCACAGGACCTGGATCTCTTAGGGATAATTTCTGTGCTGCACATTTACCACTTCAGGATCTGATTATACCCTTTTATTGTAAATTTCTCTCTCCACTCCTGCCACCTCCTCTCCAGAGGACTGAGTTCCCTGTCAACACTGAATGCCTTCAAGGCCCTGCAGAACTCTGGCCTTTCCTCCTTATCCACCCTTGTTTCTTATTGTAAAACCCCATCCCCTCCATTCTGTCAATGATGCCAGCCTCACTGCCCTATCTGCCAGTGTCAGGGTTCCCTCCCCACTCTGAACTCTGGGGTACAGATGTGGGGACCCGCATGAAAGACCCCTAAGG